ATACTATCACCTTTCTTTAAACCCCAAGGAAGCCTTGCTCTCAGACATGGAAAATACTTCCTCAGAACATGTTACCTTTTCATCGTTGTCATGGGGCTTGCTTGATTTTGCTACATCTAGACTAGTTTCTTTTCATTCAACGTTCCTCTTCGTGCTTCTCATTATGTCCCTTTCTGTTGTGAAAGCAAAGGGCAAAGCCAGCAAGAAAAAGAGCAACCAAGCACCTCTCCCTCCAGGCCCAACTCCCTGGCCAATCATTGGAAACCTCCCGGAGATATGGAGAAAGAGGCCAGCCTTTCGGTGGATTCATGGCCTTATGAAAGAACTCCACACCGATATTCTTTGTGTCCGCCTTGCAAACACTCATGTCGTCGCTGTCACGTCGCCTGTCATAGCTCGAGAGTTCTTGAAGAAAAATGATTCAGTTTTTGCATCGAGGCCTGTTACGATGGCAACCGAGTACTCCAGCCGAAGGTTCTTGACAATAGCTGTGGTTCCGTGGGGAGATCAATGGAAGAAAATGAGAAGGGTAGTAACCTGTGAGATTGTCAGTGCATCCAAACTCCGCTCTTTACTTGAGAACAGAACCGAAGAAGCTGATAACCTTGTTAGGTTCATCTACAACCAATGTAGAAGCAACCAATCCACTGCCTCAGCAGTCGTTAATCTGAGGCTTGCAATGAGGCAATACAGTGGAAATGTCATCAGGAAGATGATATTCAACCGAAGATACTTTGGGGAAGGTAGAAAAGATGGAGGGCCTGGATATGAAGAAGAAGAGCATGTGGAATCACTCTTCACAGTGCTCAAGCACCTTTACTCTTTCATCTTATCAGACTATATACCCTGGTTGAGACCATTTGATTTGGAGGGCCATGAGAAGACTGTAAGGAAGGCTATGAAAATTGTGAATGAGTACCAGGATCCCTTGATCGACGAGAGGGTCCAAGAGTGGAGAAAAGGCAAGAGGACGGAGGCTGAAGACCTCCTTGATGCCTTCATTTTAGCCAAGGATTCGAATGGGAAGCCGGCTCTTTCAATCGAAGAGATTAAAGCCCAATGCGCGGTGAGATAATCTAACTACACGTGCCTTTTTCGCCATGTGTTTTTGGTCTAGTTATAACAAAAATTAATTTGATTAGTTATTTATCATCAAATTTGCGTTTCGTACAAGTCTATGAATATTATTTTGTTTATGTAGGAGTTAATGCTTGCAACCGTAGACAATCCTTCAAACGCTGTGGAATGGGCGATGGCGGAAATGATCAACCAACCTGAAATTCTCCAGAAAGCAGTCGAGGAAATAGATGCTGTGGTCGGAAAAGAGAGGCTGGTTCAAGAAGCTGACATTCCCAAACTCAACTACGTCAAAGCTTGTGCAAGGGAAGGCTTTCGTCTTCACCCCATTGCGCCCTTCAACCTACCCCACGTCTCTACCGCCGACGCCACTGTTGCTGGCTACTTCATTCCCAAAGGTAGTCACGTCTTGCTCAGTCGTTACGGCTTAGGCCGGAACCCCAAGGTTTGGGATGACCCACTGAAGTTCAACCCTGAGCGCCATTTGAAGGATGGTTCCATGTGCGTTGATCTGACGGAGACAGACCTGAGGTTCATTTCTTTCAGCGCAGGAAGGCGCGGGTGCATGGGCGTGGCTCTTGGGACTGCAATGACCGTAATGCTGTTGGCAAGGCTGCTTCAAGGTTTCACTTGGAGGGTTCCACCGAATGAGGCAAACATCGATCTCTCTGAAGCAAAAGATGATCTCTTCATGGCCAAACCTTTGCATGCACTTGGTCAACCTCGATTGCCTGCTCATCTTTATCCAGCTAATTAATCTGTCATGGAAAAGCTTCAATTATGAATAAAGTTGTAATTACTTCTTTAGAAAATGAATAAACCTATAATTAATTTGAATATTTCTTGTTATGATGCTCTTTTTATGAATGTTGACTTCAATTTCTCAATGTGTGCTTTGTGACTTTTGAATTCCATTACTAGCTGCTGAAGTATTTGCAAAATGCCCTTTCATTTTTTACTGATGATTTTATTTTTTATTTTTGATAATTCAAATAAATTTGTACGGTAAGTAATTTATATTGAATAGTATGCAGTTTTATTATTATTATTTTGAAAATCAAATTTAACTCTTTTCATGGATATATATATATATATTGGTATAGATATATATAATTTAAATAAATACACAATGCAAATTTGATCTGTTTGAATACAGTGTTAGGCTATTGGGTTTGAGGATGGAAATTTAATTTAAGGGGACAGATTAATTTTATTTGGGGAATGACACTTCTTTTGCCTTTGTTTTTCTTGGGATGTTGATAGTCTGGTTATTTTGAGTTTTGACTTTAAACAAACATATCATTATTCAAATTAGAAATACATATATATATAATTTAAATAATAAATTTGATGTAAATTAAAGATGGGTTAAATGTTTAAAATATAAAAAAAAATTATCATAAGATTATATGATCATCGTCCATGATAGATTTTCATATAAAATATGGTATAATACATATAAAAATTCATTAGGCATGGATCTGGGTCATACAAAGGTGAGAAACTCTCTTTTACATAGCAAATTTCAAACCTCCTATTAATGGCATATGGAAGAAAAAAAATTTCAATAGTTATCAAATAAGATTAATGATCCAATCTCTATGATTTTCTGTTATAGATTTATCTCAAGTAAATAGACAATTAAATAAATGACCTTCTAGTGAAACGAATTTCGAGAAAAAGGAGTTTCTTTTAACATAAAAATAAGTTATCAAAGTTTTACCATTAATTGTCATATAGGACTAATAACTTGGTCTTTATAATTTTTTATAATTATTTTTGTACAAATAAGGAGAGTTTGAATAAAGGACTTACTATTGAGACAAATTTTGAGAAAATAAAATTTCTTTAATTTAATAATGAGAAAATAAAATAGGTGCATTAAGTCGATTTTATTATATTCACAGTTTCGAGAAAATAATAAAAAAACCATTTTCAATCTTCTTGAACAATATACCAGAGAAAGTTCACTGGCTTTGTTAGGTTTGATAATCTAGCTGATGTTAGGAGGTTCTGGTTTTTTTTTTTAATTGAGAGAAAAGGATTTGTGCACTGCTTTCTAAATAAAGGATCATGCATCAATTAATGAGTAAAATACTCTAGCGTAGGAGGGCATGCTTGATGATGAACGAAATCTGGATTATCAGCCAAAAACTAAGTGTCAATTTAGCCCAATCTGGTGACAGAGATACCTACTGGAGGAGAAGACAACCAATGATGATGGGAAGAATACCCCAAATGGAAGGAACCAATGGTCAAACCAAGGAACAAACTTCTATGAGCGAAGAGGAGTACAAGGACGATCCTACTCTCATGTAGTAAGAAGAGCAAAGGAAACCCAAGAGTAGTCAATTTCAAAGAATGGAAAAAGAGGACAGGATGTAAGAGGACAGTGAGCGTGGAGTAATGAAATCATTTGAATTGCTTTGAAAAAAAATGTTATATAAGACTAATTATTTGGTCTGTGTGATTTTCTACAATTGTTTTTTTTTTTAAGAAACGGGGACTTGAATAAATGATTTACTGTTGAGACAAGTTTCGAATATGAAAGTGTTACGATTAATTGCCAAATAAGACCAATTCCCTTGTCGTCTGCTTGATTTTTTGTAACTATTTCCTTCTGAGACAATGGAAACTTTAACAAATGACCTATGATTGAGATAACTTTCAAGAAAAAAAATTCCTTTAAAAATAAGAATAAGTTATCAAGGTTTTACAATTAATTGTCATATAAGATGATATATAAGATGAATGATTTTTTGTAGCCGTTTCCTTCTGATAAATTGGTGACATATATAAAAGATTTACTATTAAGACAAATTCTGAGAAAATGAAATTTCTTTTAGTATTATAATAAGTTAAGAGGGTTCTTCCATTAATTGCAATACACAACTAATTAACCAATTCGTAACTTTTTTTTGTAGCTGTTTCCTTCTAAGAAAATGGGGACTAGAATAAGTGATCTACTATTGAGACAAATTTTGAGAAAAAGAACTTCTTTTAATATAACAATAAGTTATCAAAGTTCTAACCTTGATTGCTAAGACTTAATGCTCATTATATATGATTTTTTTGTAATAGTTTTTCTATTCATTTCTCGTTGGATTTATGCCATACATATATACATATATGTATATATGTATAGATATATGCATGTATATATGTATACGTATCTGTGCGTGTGTTGATGCCAAAGTTCTACCATTAAATGCCATATAAGACACATTACTTGGTGGTCGGTATGATTTTTTATAGTCATTTCCTTCCGAGAAAATGAGGACTTAAACTATTGAGACAAATCTCTAGAAAAAAAAAAATTCCTTTTGATAAACAATAACTTATTAAAGTTCTAACATTAATTATCGTTTAAGACTTTTTTTTTTCTCAAACAATATATAGTTTCATTAAATAAGAGTTAATACAGCTCACACATTCCAACTACCTGGAATGGTACAAAAGAAACACCCACAAAATTTCCCTAATTTAAAGACGATCACAACATCAAACAGATTCCATATCCCCTTTAGTTAATAAATTGACAGCAACCTAGCATTACATACAAAATTATAACGGATATACTATCAATATTAGAAACAAAAGAAAATCATACACTTCGTAGTTGTATTAACCCAACAACATAAACCTTCATCTCCTGCCATCTCCCACTAGCCACTGCTTCTCCTACCATATAAGAGAAAACACATCCTCCTTGATGGTAACCCATGATACTATTGCCATTGAATCAGATTCTATCACCAAGGATTTCCTCCCACACTAGACTTCCTTTTTTTTTACCTCCCTCTACACAGTACTGACCCTTTTTATGCCTTGACTCTTGCCGTTGCCTCCTTAGCCATCTCCATTAGCAGCACGTCCTTTATTTCTTTTGCATATGAAGCCTACTCTTTTACCTATACTGACCATTTTTCATTTGTTCTGGGCTCATTCTTATATTACTCTCCTTTCATGGGCCTTCATTTTTCTCATCATTATTTCTCCCTTTATCCCCAATCTCTCTTCATCTTTCTTCCTTTCGACCGGCTTCAATCTTTCTTCCCCTAACACTAATTACTTGGCCTATATGATTTTTTGTAACCGCTTCTTTTGGAAAAATTAAGTACTTGAATCAGTGACCTATTGTTAAGGCGAATTATGAGAAAAT